TTCCAGGCTCTAAGTTTTCCAGAAACCCGGGAAATCTACTTGATTGAGAATTGTGGGACACGTTATCGCTGTGTGCGTCGACGTATGCCTGCATGTCTGCTCGCCAGGATTATGGGTGCGGCCGTACAACTCTGTGTGCAGCGACCGTACAGTGCATCGTATGCCTGCATGTCTGCTGCCAGGATTGGGAGGTACGGCCAACTCTGTGTGCAGCGACCGTACAAACAGTGGCCAATCACTAGCCTCTGTTTGTTTGTATCCCCCATCCTGATCATGAGTAGCTCCCTGCGTGTACTCTTTATCCGCAACATACGTCCTGAATAAACGTGCACCGTGCTACACGTCTGTTTCCTTTATAGCTGGGCTATAGCTTAGCTAGTTCTGGGAGTCTAGCTAGGTGTTTGAGAATCTGCCATAGGATTTTTGGGTCGGTCAGATTTTACTTAAGTAGCAATCCGCTACAGAATGCGTAAAAAAACAATCTGTAGTTGACTAGACTGTAATGCCGTGTTATCTAATGTACAAATGTCTAAATTAATATATATATATATATTAATTAGTTATTGCAAATCCTATATCCGCTTTCATTTATGAATTTTGACAAAATGTACTTATTATGCAACTGTCAGTATAATCTATAAAATATATTGCAAATTCAATTTGTGTTTATTTAGGTAATTCAATTAATTCAAGGATAAGGATGTTACTGTGTAACCGAATTTTCCAATATTGAAAATTACTGGAGCTATATTTGGTGTTTAAGTTCTGTATTATAAATACTGGATATATGATTAAGTATGCCAATTGAAAAGAATTATTAAAAACAATCTGTTGCTCTTACTTGTTTATTGAAATTAACCAAAGCTAAGAGCTATTTCCCCCTGATAACTTTCGAAATAACCTTAAGTACTTATGTAATATGCCGACATCATGTTGTGGGAACTTTTGTAAATATTTTTGATGAACCAGGTGAAGCTACATGCAGAAGGATAGCCACTAGCTTGTTAGGCAGCTTTGCAATGGAGCAGCAACAGAATGTACACAACACTTCAGTTCATAACTTAATAACATAGTATCTGTGTAGGACAAGTGAAAGTATTAACGCCTGATTGTTGTTCTTGCACTCATGAGTTGAAATCTAATTCCAATTTTGTGAAATAAACATATTTTTTTCATTTTGAATAAAATGTAACTATTGTTAAATGAGGGTGGAGACCCATTCTATTTAACAAAGACCTGTTCTCAAGCAGGTAGTTAGAGAGACTGTCGCTTAAGTAATAATACGTAGGTGTGATATTGTTCTAGTTGCAGGCAAAAACCAATTCTCAACAGTGTTATTGAGGCAAAAATCGGTTTCACTTGAAGTAGAAACATTCACTTTTATGAATAGATAGCAAAATCCATGCAACTACAAGTAGGCAGGAAAAATTTCATTTAAAATACTGTAGACCCTTAAATATAAAAATTGATAGAGAGGTGTTATAGCGTGTAATCTTCGGAGTATCCCTATTTAATTAATGAAATTAAATTAAAGAGTAATTAGTTTTTTTAAAATATACTAAAGTTGTGTGCTATTTCCTAGCAATCGTAATATTTGCATCATGTGCTGATACCATGTTGTGGGGCATTTGGTGGCTATTTTTGTGATACCAAGTAGTGGTATCTGCTAGAGGCACCCAACGACATTTGACTGAGAAACCAGAGACTACACTCCCATTCTTCTTCGCAAGAAAGTTAAAAACCATCGAGGCAAGATGTAGCACACTTGCCAGACAGATGCAAGCTGATAGCTCAACAGTCAATCGCTTTCGATAAATCTAGAATGGATATCATTTATCACCTACGAAGACCACAGATCTTAGTTTTCGCTGCCTAGCATGCGCACAAGTATTAGTAACAGCTATGCAGATTAACTAATTCACAAAAAGACCAATTCACTACTGAATCATCTTTCTTTCATAAACATGCTGTTAACCATCAGTTCGATCCATAATTTTCTCAATCTATTGAACTTTAAACATATACTCCCCCCCCCCCCCCTCCGAAATCAAATTATCACGATAAGTCATCCATTATGTAGAGTTCCCTCATGCCGCAATCACACAATTACAAGACATATTAGCTATTTTTATTGAAAATCCTTTTAAATGATAGGATCTATAGCCTGCCATTTTTAATATTAGGTTGGCAACTAGGTCATTGCCAATTTCAAATAAGAAGGCAAATTCGGAATTTTTGTTTAAAAATATAACTTTATTCAATTAGCTATTGGCCGTTCTTGTCGGTGACCTTTTTCCATCGTTCTAGCAGAGTAAAAATTCCCCGTTCGTAAAATGTCTGGCCTTTGCTATTAAAAAACTGAATTAGGTGTGATCCCACATCATCCGCGTTGTTAAAAATTTTACCATTTAAAGAGTTTTGCATGGAACGAAACAAATGGTAATCCGAAGGCGCAAGGTCAGGGCTATATGGTGGGTGTAACAAAACATCCCAACGCAGTTGCAATAATTTTTGCCGAGTAACCAAAGATGTGTGGGGGGGGGCCTTGCGTTATCATGATGGAAAACAACACCCTTCCGCCGATTTGATAATGCTGGCCGCTTATCTTCAATTGCATCCTTCTTTCAGTTTTTCGAGTTCTTCAACATACACATTTTAATTTATCGTTTGGTTCTGCGGCATGAGTTCAAAATACAAAATTCCTTTGTGATCCCACCAGACTGACAGCATAATCTTTTTTTGGTGAATCTCTGCTTTTGATACTGTTTGGGCTGGTTGATCTTGCTTCACCCATGATCTCTTGCGAGTAACATTGTTATAAACTATCCACTTTTCGTCGCCAGTAACTAGGTTCTTCCTCGGAAATGGATCATTCTCATTCCCATTGCGTTTCAGTAGCGGCGAATCACAGATGCCAATCCGTTGCGTCAAATGAATTTCCTTTAACTGGTGAGGGATCCATAAATCAAGGTTCTTGACATAACCAAGGGTTTTTAATCTTTTTTTCAATGCGCATGTATGCGACACATTGAGCTTCTCTGCAATATCTCGTGTTGTGCTGTGACGATTTGAATCGATAATGGCCATGATATGGGTTTCATCCACTTCGACTGAGCGGCCAGATCGTTGTGAATTTTTCAGTGAAAAATCACCGGAACGAAATCTTTCAAACCAATTTCGACACTGCCTTTCTTTTAAGGCGGCTTCATCTCCATATACGGCACATAACTTCTTTTGTGCTTGCGATGCGTTGTTGCCTTTTCGGAAGTAATACAATAAAATGTGTCGGAAGTGCACGTCCTGTTCTTTCATTTTTAAATTGGGATAAAAACAAAACTAAAGAACTAAACAAAAAAATTTTTCACTAATTAACCTAGAAGCCCATAGAGTAAGAAAAAAATATAGGTTAGATGCTCTGGCCACGTTAACAAAACAAAAGAAAGTATAGAGTGAATCTGTCATTAAAAACAGCAATGACTTAGTTGCCAACCCAATATTTACAGTTACTTTCCTTACTCTACTAATTCCAAAGTATTCATAGGCCTTCACCTCACTGATGAAGAGCAAATGAGACTAAAGTTGATTTTTTTAAGCTCCAACAATCCATTTTTGAAAAATATGTTTTTCCATTGAAGTTTGCCACCTACTTGCTGTAACAGATAAGTAAATCCTATAAAGAAAAAATGAATCATTTGAATCTCAAACCGGATTGACTAATTGTTTACAAGAAAACATATTTATATGAAGTCATTGCTGCTCAAAAGAACACATTATTTTCAAAATCATGGGGTCATCAGAGGTTAATGGATCACCCACACGAAGCAGATCTTCATGCTTAACTCTCTTCTGCATTCTCAATGGTTTAACTTGCGTAAGTGGTAAAAATTTAATAAAACGAATAGCTTGTTCTTATTTTTTAGGTTTTTGGTATATGCATACTTGCAGGCACTGCCTGGCACTTTGACGAGGCATTAAAATGGTCCGTCGCTACGCCACTTCTTGTGTTTGGAGCTCTTGGTTGCATTAAGGTTTCACTGTTACCTTTCATCTTCAAATGCTGTAATGCGATTTTCGCTTTTGCAGTAAGTACTTCGATTTGCCTATTTAGTTCCCTTAGTACTTAGGCGTGATCTTGGCAGTAGCAATTGCGGACTTTTCGCTAGGATTTCCGGTAATGTTTAAAGTTGGTAGAGTTGGTGAAGGTGTCGCCGTAAGCTTTTTTGGCTTGACTGAAGCAGTACTCTTAGTCTGTGCCTTTGTCGAAGTTCAGAATAGAGACGACAGATATTAATGAACGAGTGTTGGAAATATGAAAATGAACAAAAATGTTAATCCAATATTAATGTGTTAACAGTTTTTTTTCCTCGCATTATGTTATTATTTAGCTTATTATTTCGCCAAAATAAATACTGTTTCATCGAAACATTTCTCAACCTTTTTTATATTTTTCCAAAGTGAAAAGGCCATTTCATTTTATATTTAACTTTCAATGCATGAATAAATAAATATAATCGTGACAAAATATAATCAAAGAAACGAATTTCACTTACATACTTACAAAAATCACCCCATTTACTAAAATTTGAGTAGTCAAACCCACTTATCATAGCTTGTAATGTTGAAATAAACATCAAAGTAATTGGTTTGTAAATTAGTGTTGGAAGAGCTAACAAAAGTCAAAACCAAAACTTCATTCCATCGCTTGGCATCCACTTTAGAAGCAGGGAGACATTTCAGTACAAATGATGCATATGAACATGGAAACTGTGGAATAAGAGAAAGATATTTTGACATCAAATTAAATTAAATTGCACACACTCAGTAAAGATTAACTAATACGTAGCACTATAGATTGAATGGCAATTAAGGTGATTATCTTAAATTTGCAAATTAATTTGATTTGCAAGCAAGAGTGTTGGATTTTAATTGAAGAAAACAATCATGTTAGACCCACCATACATTCAGACTAAAAATAGCATTGTGTCTATTTGCCATAAAATTTTATCTCCATTTTCTTGAGGTATTCATTATTTGGAGGCGTTTTCATTACTTATGCATTGACAGCATATTGCAATTATGTCTGAAAACTTTAGAATAAATGAAAGTCGATGGGGTTACTGTTTAGCACTCCTCAAACCGAGCAAGTCATAATTACTGTCAATTGAATGAAACCCACCTTCAAATGTACTTGGCTGCCAAATTACAATGCAACAACCAATCGACATTCAATTTTCAGCTTAAAGTAAAATGCTATCATGTTTAATGTTGTTAGGTAAAGTTATAAGCATAATCGATTCGACAGATAGTGAACTCACACATGGTGACAATAAGAAAATTCAAACCACACTCTATAAACACCAGCGAAATTCAACATGTAACTAACCTTTCAAAAACAGGTTCGCTAAGTCATAGGAATAAATGCTATCCAATAATGGAAGCCGTTTTCTATATTTAAAGTCAGACCCGTAGAAAGAGGAAGAGTGACAACCTAATCGATAAAAATCATTCTGTTTAAGCACCGTTATAATATGTTCAACGTAGCCACAAAACAGATTCTCTCATTCATCGCAGTATCAGTATTGACTGGACTTCAAATTTCTTATAAAACTGAAGTGTTATCTCATGCTGCCAATGAACACTTTAATTACTAAACAATGGTGAATATAGGAATCCTTTATTTCAGCATTCTGAGTTTACAAATTTAAAAATATTGATCTTGTAAATTGTCATATCATTGTTGGACGACTTTAATTGTAAGATTTATTATCGTGGAGCCTTTACTTAATAGAGTGATCTACTTATTTTGATAATTGTCCATCGGGGTGTGCGATAGACTTACCTCCACATGGTGCATCCTGAGCAACGTATGCTCATACGGCAAAAAAGTCTATAAACCGGCAGTTGACTTCTGACTTCAAACTACCATGACCCCACTGTATGTCATATTCGACCCCTTTCACAGTACTCATCTAGCCTTTTCTCTGCCTTTGTGTCTGTCTGTCTCTTTTACATCTGTGAATCGCTCTTCATTTCCCCTGTCGAATTTTTCTCACTTTAATGTTCCTCCCTTCTATGAAGCCTGAAGTCAACTAAATGGCTAATGATAACTATTAAAATGCCTGCCATTTGAAATAAATAAATAAATAATTGCCCATCTCATATAGACTTTGTCCGAAAAATTCACCACACCGGCATCTGCATTTAAAGTCCATTAGCAGAATATTTATTTCGTG